AGAAAAGAGACAATTTTTTTGTTGTTGGTTTAGACGTATAGATCGCTATTGGTGTCGCGTAATTCTATGAAAACAAAAGCAACTGCCATGACCGATGGCTACGAGACACATGTTTTGTTGTACTGCTTGATCATTCTCTGTGCTGTATTTTTGAGTTTATTTTTTTGTTCTTTTCTTTTCTCCACCTTTCATCATATGCGTCACTCTTTGAATAAGAATGGATTGCAAGTATGCGGTATATGAGCAAGATACTGTGTTGGACGAGAGAGATATGTATAATCCTTTGTTTTGTATTGTGTGAGGGCATTTTTTTCTTTCATATTTTTGTTTTGTGGTTGGTTTTTTAGTTTCTTTAGGAATAAAGCCTGTCTTCACAGACACGTATCGTATTAAACATTTTTGACGAAGTTCACTAATCGATGACATTCCAACAGGTCACAATTTCTCACAGGACACGAAATTCCATTGAATAATGTAAATGATCGTATTAAATCTATTCTTGGTATTTCAATGAGATCAGTTGAAAGACTAAAGAGAGAAATAAGAGAGCAGGAAGGGGAACTGTTGGAAAAGGAAAACGAATTGATTGAGAGGTTTTCATGCATCATCTATTGATATATTTGAGTGTAGTGAAGATCATCGTATGAATTCAGAACATTTTTTGGAGCGGATCTATCGTACTGCTTCTCTTCTTCGAAAACAATTGGGTAATATTTGTTTTTTGTCATTTCTATTGTTATATTCGTGCTTCCCGAAATCTTTCCGAAAAACGATATGAAATCGATAAAGCAGCAAAACAAAACAATGTTGATGTTTTACAGTAAGCTGTTAATCTTATATTTCGCCTTAGTCTTGAGACAAATGTTCATAGTTTGCCCGTCAAACATTGTTTGCTCAATCCAATGAAGTTGGCATGGGCTACATTGAAGCAATATGTGCGAGGTAACAATGTCAATTTTCGTCTCAGCCATGTTCGATAGATATCACAAAAATGGATGCTAGACTTAAACGCAGATACAGTTACGGCTTACCTCAATCATGTATACAATATTGAGGAAACGTTCAAGAAGTCTGATGCTTTTATCGAACAACTCGAAGATGAACTGATAGATAATGATGAGGAGGAGGAAGAATTGGATTCCAAGGCCGAAGAAATAACTGATTGATAACCAAATTCTACTTCTCTTTTGTTGTTTCATGTTACCAACTATTGATTTAAAAGAAATAACTGCATGTCTAATCAAAGATACTAAACAGATATTTATCATGTAGAAATGTGTTGCGTTATTATATTTTCCGACTAGAATACATGATTGGTGATATAATGTAATTCTTACTGCTTTTACATGATAAAGAATGATTTCATTACAATATGAACACCTTCATTCTATTCAGAATAGTCAAAAACCTAACTATTTATTAATGGATGTAGAATTATTCGAGCTTAAAAAAATTTCAAAAAAGGTTGTTTCGAGCATTTTTAACGATAAGTATTGAGTGTATATTTTTTGAATAATATAAAATAAAAATTTCGAGTTTAAATAAAGTTAAAGATGTTGAGTAGGGGAATCTAATGCACCCCTCATAATTGAAATTTTATACATTTCTCATAGGACTTTAATTTCTTCTTTGAATTTCACTGACTGCTCATCAAATTTATAAGCTGATTTTGTTAACTAGTATGTGAAAGTTGCCGAAGGTCAACCTCTTTCTAATGGTGAAAACTGCAGATCGATAGCTCTTTTCGTTGAAGAGTTATTCGAGAAACAACCCCCCGTCTTTTATTTTGAGATGGACATTAGTTGAATGTATATTCTTTACTTACTAGACATACACATCGCAAATTATCATTTTTTGTTACGATGATCTCGAGAACAGAGAGATAGATGTTCTTCTACTGTTTGATTCATGCATCAAAGAAGGAAAAAATTATGTTAACAGCGTGGATTTGTACGGAATCTTTTTCCGTATGAAACTCTTATATTTGAAATCAAAACCGACTGTATGTCTTAAGCCCTTTACCTTTGTTATGCTATAAATAACAGGAGTTAAAAAAGCTAATTGTAGTCGTAGCAATAGGGTGGATATATATTTCACTCAACAAGAATGTATCAAATGAAACCTAACATAGAGCGTTGTTCTAAATTTCATCCTCTATCTACAAAGACGTGATATGTAAAAATTTGCTATGTATTTAGTGAGATCTGTACTTACGTTGTTGCTTGGACTGTAAGCTTTTTACTTCTGCTATTCATATTGTAAGAAAGCTATATAACTTAAGTAATATAATTTGTTTTGAATTCAAATACAAGCGTTTCCTAAAGGAAAAGATTCCCTACAAATTCATGCTTTTAAACCAACTTTTAACTTCTTCGATGAGTGTATAAAATAGTATAAGAGCATCTATCTGTGATTGTTGTATATATAGGAGACGACTAAAAGAATTTCCTATTCTAATAGAATATCTAAAGCAATTTGTTGTGCTCTTGCTGATGATATATTGAGCAATAAAATTAGTTAAACATTTTTAGGAATAACGTAGAGCACAAGTTGTTCTATTGTATCATGTAGCATAATGAAAATTTTCACTTAGAATAGACGTGCACTAGTTTGTAAAAATAAGTGATTGGATATGTTTGAAAGAATGAAAAATGGCATGCTGTAATTGTATCGGCGATAAAAATATAAACAGATCAATAGATTGATCTGAAAATTTTTACTAGTATACTAGAGAGTATAGGCTATAATCTGACAAAAATCAGACGATTCTGGGATAAAATTATCTACTAGTTGAATAATTGTGATACTTAACAGTGCCCTATAATTCTATAATATTTCATCATTCGTCAATTAGCGTGACAAAATAAGAATTTCGATCAAAGCTGAACTGTACTGTATATTCAAATGAGAGTTATTTATGATAAACTGTGTTGTGTTTTTGACGGTTGGGCTCCATCTCTTACAACAGTTGAAAGCTTATATGAATAGTTTCATGAGGATCGAAAAGATGTTGAAGACGAAGAACAATCTATAACAGGCCTATAATTCAGACCATACCTTCCATGATCATCCTTAAGGTTAACTGTTCCGATACATAACTAGCCGTCATCTTTTTAAGTTTACAATGATTGGAGATTATTTGTTGGAGAGCACCACGATTCAGATTAGTTTTCTCTTGTAAATTATCAATTGTAATATGAGGATCATCATTAATAAAGCAATGGATCTGTTCAACCTTTTCAGATGTTGTTCGATGACAGACACGCCGGATCATGCTCACGACGTTCACGAAGCCATTCATATCATTTTTCAATTATTCTGAGACGTGGAGCCTGGGTGCCGCAAATTAAATATAGTGCAGTACGGACTTAAATGTAAAAGTAAAAGTTTTCTTCATGCAACAAAACGAGAGTTGAACAGCTATGATCGAAAGTCTAATATTATCATAGGAAATAGAGAATGGTGAAATATTTTAGAATTATCAAGCATTGTTTGGACTATCAGTATGTATACATAAAACTTTCTTTAATTCTTCTATAATGTAATATAGTGCTACTGACACTGTTTTTGATATATCCTAAGTATATTATCTAATTGATTCACATCCAAGGAGGAAAAAGCGAGACTTCGTACTTCGCGTACTTCACTGTACTTCAATTGTACTTCACCGTACTTCACTTGTACTCCACTCGTACTTCACTGTACTTCACTCGTACTTCACCGTACTTCACTCGTACTTCACTCGTAC